AGCACATGACATATTAATTATTAAGGCCTAACTTATATTGTAAATGTCATTTATACTTCTATTTTCTAAAGCACTTTATTCAACACATAATGTTATGCGGGAGCCTGTTCTGGAAACAGGCCAGCAACAGACTTAGGGTGGGACACACACACACACACACACACACACACACACACACACACACACACACACACCCACCCACCCAACAGGGCCAGTTTTCCCAGAAGCCAGTTGACCTACCTGTATGTATTTGGACTGTGGGAGGAAACCAGAGCACCTGGCAGAAACCCATATGAACATGGGGACAACAACTCCATGCAGACAGCACACCAGGATTTCGTGAATGTTACAGTTCTTTGAACAAATAGCAGCAATTATTGATGTATACAAAGTGGATGTGGCACACTTAGATTTTTAAAAAATGCTTCTACTACTGTATGTATAAAATTAATTCTTAAATTACAAATGGCAGGCAACTGAGAAATATGTGGGTTTGAGAACTGGTTAATGGATAGAGAAAACATTGTATGAGCAAAGGATGAATGCTCAAAATATGCGATGTAATTTAGTGGAGTGTCACAGGGATCTGTACTTGGACCACTGCTCTTCCTTAGTTATATCAGTGATCTAGAATCTAGTATAATTAATAAACAAGTCAAATTTGTAGACAAAGCCAAAACAGGAGAAGGGGGCTATTGAGCGTATAGTCCCTCCAGTAAACTCTATCACGGAGTTTTGCTGAAACCAGCTCTTAAATTATTTAACTGATAATTAGCAGGAAACCAGGAAGCCACATGTTGAGTAGCCCTGCTGTAGAAGCTGCAAAAGGAATTTAAGAAGACTGACACAAATGTTAATGTAGGCATACATTAAGATACCTGCAGGCAAAAACATAAACTACTGTATAAATCTTAGGTGAGATTGGAGAAGCTACTCATGAACAGAGCTTAGGCATTTAAATTGACTCATCGTCTGCTGGACAAGCTGGAGAAGCAATTAAAAGCAAGAAGAATTTTCCAAGATATTCTTTAAAAAGTGTACAAATGATAAAATAAGGATTGTAATGTTAAAACTATGCCATACACTAGAAAGTCCTCATTTAGAATATTGAGTACAGTTGTGATCACAATGTTATAGGAAGGGTATTGTGGCACTACGCGGAGGTGTGTTCAGTGTGGAGGCGGAGCCCTGGATTAAGGGTAACAAGTTGCCTTAGCAACCACAGCTGTTCTGGCTAGTTCTGGCACAGCTGTGAGGCCCTTTAAGATACACTGAACACCTCCTGGAGGGATGAGCACGCCCACACGAGAGGAGAACCTTCCAATGACAGGCCCGGAGGGGATTGTGAGAGAGCACAAGGCCATCGTTTTTTCCTTCGTTTTAGTTTTCTTTTTGCCTGGCCAGACGTGTATCTTCCACCGGAACAGGTTGACTTTTTATTTTTGTTCTGGCCTTCTGACCTTACTTTCCCTGCTCCTCCAGACTGGACTCCAAGCGGTTCTTTTTCCCAGGCTGGCCCCCGTTAGA